GTGGGCTCTGTTGCTTTCTCGTAACCGGTGTGCTTAACGCGTGGGCTCTGTTGCTTTCTCGTAACCGGTGTGCTTAACGCGTGGGCTCTGTTGCTTTCTCGTAACCGGTGTGCTTAACGCGTGGGCTCTGTTGCTTTCTCGTAACCAGTGATGCTATTGTATAAGTTGCTGTGTTTAAAAAGTGCGTGTCCCGATTATTGCCAGCAATGTGATCATCTTACCTGAGTCTGGGGCCTATCTCATGGCCAGCAAAGACGAACTCGTCGATTAGCCAAAATATGGGAACGGCAAGTCCAACAGTGAGGTCTGCTGTGGCGAGGTTCATTACAAACCTATCAGACAGGATAATAGGAGTAATAATTATAGTTTTGTATTGTAAATAATATGTCTCTCTTCAGTATCTAGAATCTTGAGTATGAGAGTTAACGGTGATCAAGTTACCCAGGCGCTGTGTTTAGAATCCTCTTCTTTCCATTACGGTACATGCTAAATTGTTGGGAGAATTCACACTTAGTTACGCGGTTTTTTTAATAATAGGAAACTTAATTATCTTAATCTAATTATTAATTATCTAAATTACGTAAGTGAATGAATTGCAATTTAATTCATGATGGGCCTTTCTTTGGCTGGTTAGTTGAAGCTAAGACATATGCGTTATGATTGCGTCCTACCTGTTTGTGATGGTCTGAAGGATTGCGTATCTGTTGATGGCGTGCATCACCATAGTGTTGGAGATGACGATCATGATGACAATGATGCTGTTGATGGTGTAGTAGGTGTTGGTGATGACTACAAGGTCTGCGTCTGTCAGCAATCTCCATGACGTCCCGTTGCCAACTGTTTCGTTGGACATGTCACCTCCCATGATTACTCGCTACTGAAATGCGTCACGCATTTGAAACAATTTCAAGGCTGCTCTAAATACCAAGGTCGTGCCTGAGGTCAAAAGTTGCACTAATGATCAAGGTCGTGTGTAGTGTTAAAGATTGTTTTAAGAAGCGAGGTCGTGCCTGAGATTTCCACTACACTAGAGAACAACGATGTACGTCCTGTCTCACCTGGCACTGAAACACGCGTGCCAACTTTCCTGATATTGAGTCTTACTTACTTATTATTGATCTCTTCCTTACTGGCTGTGCCGATTTGATCAATATATCATCATATTATTTACACAACCAGTGAAACCCTGCGTAATAGAAAGTTTGGTTATGGGAATTTGCCCATGTGGAATAATCTAAATTATGACTACGAAACTTGCAATATGGAAATTTACCCATATGGAATTTCTAAACTTTGACTCCTAAACTCACGATACAAAATGTAAATTTTCTCAAACAAATAGTTCAAAAAATTAATTTGGTTTTCTACCATCCAAAAAACTGGCGTGTTCAATTTCTCTCGGTAAAATTAATGTATTAGGCCTTCAGCCAACTGCCAACAAGTTGTGCGGGCCAGCCTTGACTTGTGTCACTAGCCAGTTAGACAGCTTCTTGCCTTAATTGATTGGATGCCTATATGTGCGGTGCGTATGGATTGTATTCGTTCTTACGAGGCCAGCAATGAGTCGGCATCCAGTGCACTCCAGCTAGATGTTTTCTTTAAAAAATGCATTGTTTTCTTCATACGCTTTTACAGCTACTACAGTACAAAGCATCTAAGGTATTTAGCTAAAAAAAACATTCTTAGAAATGCGTCTCCAATTATACATATTGAAAGTCGATAGGGAAACGTGATCCACCCTGTTCAATTTCACGTAACTGACTTTTTTCCCAAGAATGCATTACTTCCGTAATGCGGGGTATAACAGTATCTCGTAAGAGCCTACTGTGTGATATATCTGATTGCGAAAGGGAGTGCCACTTGTCAATATCAGACTGTTAAAACACATATTAGACGAGGTGTCTTTGCTCATGCAGATCGTTGTTGTTTCGCTTTCCCTAAATTGCCACACCTCATGCTGTTTCGGGGACAATTGTCATATATTGATTCACATGGCAAGCAAAGCTTTATGGTTGGATGAATTGTTATAACATATGTGTTACATGCGACGTTATACATTTTTGGGTCGATGGCCCTATGTTGTAAGAAAGATACACGCTAATACATATAACTCGGCAAATTTGTTTTTCACACCTCAATACGTGACCCAGTATATGTGTTGTTTTCATAGCGTTGCCAAAGTTTACACCCTCGTCTGGGTGTGAGATGCCTTGTGTATGTATAGCTGTGTAAACATATATGAAGACCACGTCACCTCCATTGATCTTTTCGTGTTACACAGTCCGTGGAAAACCATTTAGGAAACAGTACTTGAAGTGTGTTTGCTATTTTTTTACAGGTTCACATAGTTGCAAAGTTTCTATGCCATCAGAAACCGTTTTCTTGCTGTTATTTAATACAGACCAAACATTGTTTGTCCGTACTCAATTTATTAATAGTATAATAAATATTTTATGATGATGATCTCGTTGAACTATACATAATAAATGAAACAAATTTATACGTGTTTTCTTTTTTTACATTTCAGGTGAAATCCTATGGTGGATACTTGTCTTACAGTATTCACTATTCACTGTCAGCATCTGGCATTCCGTACAACGATGTGGACGTCAAGATTGAGGTGAGTCTCCCTATATATGTCATTGGAACAGGAATATTACTGTTTATAACGTATTACAAAACAGCTGTTATAATGGAGAATGTAGTCGTTATATCGTCTTTGATGACTTTGAAATACAGAGGTCCCCACTTTATTGGGTCTCGCACAAATCGGCGCATTTTTTAAACAACATGTCGTCAAAACCAATCTTTACGCGCATTATTTTTAATTGGGTAAAGGGGACAAGACTGAGTTTTAACACGATATTTCCCCCAGTACGAACTTTTTCTGTCTGTGAGTGAACGATCCTAAACTTAAAAGCAAACTGACAATTTTCGGCTTCTCAGTGGATTTTGGACATAATGAGCTCACATAAATTCTTTAGAGCTAAACTTATGTGTGTTATATGCAGGTGTATTGTGCACTGCGTTTCGTGTTTAGAAGATTGTGTCAAGTACAAGTAGATGCAGGGTGCGAAATTAACGGGAGTCCGGAGTCAAATACTCCCTGATTTACTGTCGGACTCCCTGATTTGACATGTGTAGGAGTCCGTGTGACTCCCTGAAAATTCTGCCATACTAACTAGTTCGTTCCAGAGCACGGCCTCGCGGAATTACCATATTTTTTCAGCTAATGTCCAAAGAAAATTTGGCAGATGTGCAACCGCATGAATCTTAAAAATAAGCACATGCGTTATTGTAAAATAGTTTTAATTTTGAACTTCAGACTGCGGACTCTCTCTTTTTGAGGGTTGGACTCCCGTGTTTAAAAGTTAATTTCTACCCCTGTAGATGCATGTGCGATTGGAAATATGTTCTCTGATTAATCAGCACCACCACTTAATCGTGGAATTTTTGTGGTTCCAAAACTGTCCTGGTAAAGGGGGGACCACTGTATTACCATTTTAAATAGAATGAGATGTGTATATTACACAAATGTGGTAGGGTACATAAATCTACACCCATTAGCGATCATTCCGTATTAATCAAACAAATATTCCCTGACCACCAATGATGAATAGTGCTGTGTACGTTTAATACGCTTTTACATATGGGGTATAGCTTTGCCAATAAATTACCATATCAATCCATCTAGATATATGACCATATGAATTGTGGTTTTACCTGTCATACAGGATGATCAAGTGTGATCCTTCTATAAATAATCTTATTAATTACTGCACACTTAGGTTTTACTCGTGTATAATTATATAACTAACTGTGCAATGAGACCAAAGACAGGCGATTATATGTGTACTCATACTCATACTTGTCATGCAGGGAGACGAAATAGAACTGTTTAGAATCAACACGCCAAAAGCACAGCCTGACATCAAGCAGGATTATGAAGTGCCAATGAAGGAGGTAAGGAATTCCCTCTAGTCACACTATTCATTAGCGAGACTATTTTAGTTAGGAAATTTGTCATATTAGGTTGTATTTATTTATAATTAGTTGGCCAATAATAATAACTAGTAGTTGTATTCTAAATCTTTACGTCATCAGATAATATCGTGGTAGTAGGCCTAGGTGTTTTTTAATTAGATAGAAATTGGAATATATTTGGGTTAGTTAATGATTTATGTCATCACTAAGAATAATCGACAAGCTGCAGGTGTGTTGTTTAGCTCCACATGTGTCATTTCTAAACCTCATACATGTTTAGATTAATTGATCTCTCTAAACCTCATACATGTTTAGATTAATTGATTTTGTATTGTTTACTGTCTAAAAATCGTTACTGGTTTAGAATCTTCTGCTCATCTTTGATGAACTTATTCACATAATTCATTTCTCAATCTCTTTCATCCTCGTATAACTTTCATGTCATCTAATACCATCATTTTCCTGCTGTCTGGAGTATAGTATGGAATAAGCAAGAACTATAAGCTGACAGAGGTATTACATTTCATCCTACAATATATGCAGTGGCGTATCCAGAAATGGATAAACAGGGGGTGGGGGCGAAATGTACCTGGGCTGCCAGCGCTAGGGGAGTGTGGGGGCATGCTCTCCCCGAAAATTTTGAAATATTTAAGCCATTTCCCTGCAATCTGAAGCATACTGTGGGCCATATTCTGATGTCTGATGATACTATCTCAACCCTATAAAGCGTTTTAAATAATAAATTGTAGGGTTGAGTATTTATGATTTAAAACGCTTTTTTTCTGTGCCTGCAAACGGGGGGGGGGTGCGTACGCCGGCTCCGCCCTATGCTGGATACGCTACTGATATATGTGCATTACATCATACCATGTAGGATAGGATCCTATATTTCAGCGTACCTTTTAGCAATAAGCGATGTATGCTTGAAGTCTACTGTGGAAAGCAAGTGAACATCACTGATTGCAGTAGGAATTTTACACATTGTAAAGTTAATGAAGTGGATCAAAATATTTGATACCACTTGATTGAGTTTGCAATGATTAATTATAAGGAATGTTGTTGAAGCATTTCAATGCAAGGCATGGCACAGAAAAGGAAATGCTGGATGTCATGGTCATAAATTCATTGGCAGTGACCAATTCCTTGCACATCTTTTTGATAAGCTGTAATTAAAATTTAGCAAACTGTTAGAAAATTAATTACAGTGCCTTGATGTGAGTGTAGCTAAGGTTTACACAGAGACAGAAATTTAAATTGCTTGCTGTAGCTTTTATTAATGCATCATTAATTGCACATGTTAATTGCATCATGTACATGTATTAAAGCATCCATTACAGATGCATTAACTTCCGCAATATATGTACATGCATTACCTACTTAAATGGCTTGTACTTCATTACAATAATTATGATAACATCATCTGCACTGTAGAAATGGACCATGTACATCACAGACACTGCACACAGGAAGAGAACGCCAGTAGGTTAACGGGGTTTATGCTAAGATTGTGTCGCTCATCCTCAGGGTTACGGCTGGCAAGTGACAGACCAGAAGAGCCCTGGCGTGCGGCCAGCAACACGCACCGACTTCATGCGTGCGCTGTCCAACGTGAAATCGATGATGATCCGCGCCACCTACAACTCGAAGACGCGCAAATCTTCGCTGCAGGACTTCAGCATGGACACGGCCGTTGCCGTTGACAACGGACAGCTGCAGGCAGCCGATGTAGAGCAGTGCGAGTGCCCTCTTGGCTATGCGGGTCTCTCCTGTCAGGTACGCGACATGAGAGCCATCTGGTGAGGATCGGTGCTGTAAGCTTTTCGGCAATTTACTACAGTTTTAATGGTGCTTGTCTTTAGTTCAATGCGGCAGAAAAGACAATTACCGGATAGAGAGGGAGAGAGAGAGATTGAGAGAGCAAGAGATACAGTCAAACAGTACTACAACAAGACGAAATTACAGAACTTGTGTGTTGGTGAGAAAGAGAGAAAACGAGTGAGAGCAAGAGAGAAAACGAGTGAGAGCAAGAGAGAAAACGAGTGAGAGCAAGAGAGAAAACGAGTGAGAGCAAGAGAGATAGAGCCAGAGAGAGACTCAGAGAGTGAGAGAGAGAGAGAGAGAGAGAGAGAGAGAGAGAGAGAGAGAGAGAGAGAGAGATAAAGATGGGGAGAGAGAGAAAGAGACCCACATTATATTGTTTTTTTGTGAACATCATGTTCTAGAGAGAGAGAGAGAGAGAGAGAGAGAGAGAGAGAGAGAGAGCCAGTGAAGTAAAGGTGGGGGGAGTTTGGATGATACCCACATTATATTGTTTTTTTGTGAACATCATGTTCAAATCGTGTTTACCACTTGTTAGTAGTAATTGTGTGCATATTCTTCTGCATAGGAATGTGGTAATGGATACGTTAGAGTGCCTGATTCGACACGACTGTCTGGATTCCTCTGCGTGTCCTGCAACTGCAACGGACACAGCAGCCAGTGCGATCCACACACCGGCGCTTGCTTGGTATGTGCTCTTCACTCACCTGTATTATCTATGCACGTCTAATTGTGCAGGTAATCAAACAAAGGTGATGAAGTAGTTGGCTCTGGTGTTGGCTCTGAGCAGTGCTTGGGCGCCAAATGATATACTTCTACTAGCTGCACAGTAACAGTGTCATCAATTATGCTGTGTCACTGTGGAATGAATACTCTATTATGTGTCACGTGATGTAAATGTAATATCCTGCAGTGTCATTTATTCCATAATTCCTTCTTTGCAACTGTAACTATTAAATCAATTGTTAAGTCTAACCTGCCAGTAATTATTGTTTGCCTCTATAGAACTGCCAGCACAACACAGAAGGTGAAAGATGCGAGAGGTGTCGCAATGGTTACTACGGCGATGCAAGCGCTGGCACGCCCAATGACTGCAGACAGTGTGCCTGCCCCCTGACTTTGTCAAGCAACAAGTATATTTTTTAATTATTACTACTCATTTTGGAATTGTAGTCGATTATCAGTTACCCTTTTAATTCAGAAAGATTCATTTAGTATCGATACATTGGATTTAATTTATTATGATAGAGATATCTCTATTGTAGTAGTGGTAATTTAATACTACAATAACGTTATTAATATTATAACCTTCAAATACTCTTTGCTCATATGTGCACTATCTTATGTAAATACTGTTTATGTGAAAACTGCTTCATTATCTGATGTCCAATACATGATCTTTTAAACTAAATCTTGCTTTGGCTACTTAGCTTTGCGACATCCTGCTACCTGGACAGAGATAGCAGGCCAACATGCATCGGCTGTCCTGAAGGATACATGGGCAGAGATTGTGGCACGTAAGTATTGTGTCACAGAATCTAATAAAAGCTCTAACACTCACTGTTACAAAAATCCTGTCACTCCCTATTCTACATCAGGGGACAATTTGAAAATATATATTCAAATAAAACGTCTAAAATGTAAAAGAAAAGGCTAAATATGATTATGAAAGGATTTAGTAATAACTGCTTTATATTAATGTTTGTAATTATTAATAATGATATTAAATTGTAAAAAAAAATTAAACTGTTATTACAAATGTAAACTATTATTAATGCTTTTTTAATCATTGAAAAATATATTAGAAATATTATCAGCTCATACAAAATCCTTTGAGGTTGGTTTTCCGCCCACCGATAAACTCACATGATTCCAACGACAATAACAATGTAATAAGCAATGTGCAGAAATAAGTATAATGAGTATAATTGATGAAATAAGTATGAATAAGCGATGTTCTGATGCACAGGTGCAAGTCCGGTTACTCAGGAGACCCGCGACAGCCTGGCCAGAGTTGCCGTGGTGAGGAGACAGGCAGCGGCCGACCAACAGTCGTCGTCTACCCGCTACAGATCGATGAGTTCGTCGGCGGCACGGTGTCGTTCACGTGCAGCGTGCGTGGTCGCGAGCCGCGCGCCGTCACGTGGTCGCGCGCCGACAGCTCGCCGCTGTCGGGCCGTCACCAGATCGGCGACGACAACTCGCTGACGGTCCAGGGCCTGACGCAGGGCGACAGCGGCGTCTACATCTGCAGCGCCCGCAATCAGCTGGGCACTGCGACCGGCACCGCACGCCTCATGATCAAGTCTGGTGAGTGGCGCGCCGTCGTCTGCCGAAGCAGCGGCCTGCGTTCACCCGGCTGCTCGAACGTTGTGTCGGCCTCATGATGCTGCGTAATGTACGGCGTATAATACTATGCACTTCTCAGGATTACGTCGCTTGGGCGAAGGGTGCCGGATAAATCTGCAGAGATGCCAACACATATTTGAAGCAATCTGTAGTTTCTGGCCATCAAATTAGTAGTTCGAGGGTGACATAGTGACCCGAGTTTCCTAGGGGGGTCCAGCATGCCCCCCGGAAAAAATTTTGATTCTGAGATGCAATTTCCTGAATTCTGAGGGTCAAAAATGACAATAAATTGACAAAAAATGACAATAATTGACAAAAAAAAATTCCCAATTAGTGAAATTCGTAGTTTGATACAAACTGGTCGTAGTGGTGCAAAAGGAATAGAAATTCGTATAAAATACGGATAAATCGTAGTGGTTGGCATCTCTGAATCTGTTTGTCCACTGTGTAAAGTTGGTCAAAGTTTGTGGTTTGGATCGATTGGGTCACACGTGGCAGATTAAGCGCTCCTCGCACAATCTTTGATTTCTGCATGGGTGAGTTACAGACATAGGTGAAGCCTTTTAGTCGGGACAATACATTAGCGGCAATTCGTGAAGAGGATCGCGATGCGTACCAATGATGACTCGGCGCTGCGTGCGCGTTCACAGTTGTGTTGCTGTCATCAGGCAGATTTCGTCGATATGAACCTCTCTGCTATTCTTACAGGTGTGGAACCGATCAGAGTGGTGATTGAAGAACAGAAGGACCAGGCAGTCGAGGAAGGAAGTACCGTCAATTTCCGCTGCCGCGGAGAGAGTCAGGTTGGCCGCGATCCGGCCGTACGTGTGATTCCATTCCCTTCTCTATTCCTAGTTAAGTGCAGCGGTCCACCTAAGGCTGACCGCAGCTGAGAGCAAGGTGCTGCTGAGACACGCGCCGCTCCTGCTGCGGGACATCTACCGATTCCAGCGCTTGGCTGGATGGCTGTAGTGAAGCGTTTCGGTGCGAGCGCATTGCAAGCACCTAAGCGCTTCTCATGTTTGAGCTAAGGACATCGAAAACGGCATCGGGCGACGCGAGGTTTATTTTTCTTCGCCGTAATTCGAAGATGTTTCTCGTTGACGCTGCTGAAAGACGTGCTCACAGCCTCAGCTGGACCCTGTTTCTAGTGTATTTAGTTGAGATAGTACTAACACGGGGTCGCCAAGTGCATCGGTGCGGACCAATGGTCGCCACGAGCCAACCCTTTGAACGACGTCATCGTGACGACGATCGTCAAGTTAGTCGAGCCGTAGGCAACCATTGATCACAAGAGGGTGCTGGCGATCGCGTCGGCAGCTTTAGGTTCTCTAGCCTTCCTTCCATTCCTCATTCCCTCGGTGTTGCATGGGTGTTTGGTTTGACTTCTTCTCCTGCTTCTTTCTCGCTGCAAGGTGAACGCTAGGTGCAGACCGCTGAGTCGGGCCGACAATTCGTGCTTGTTGCTCACAGTTTTCACGCCGCCACGAACGCTCGCGGTGTACAGCATTGACCCCCCCAACTCCCACCCCCGTACGCCGCGGCACCAACCACCCACGTACTGTGCACGCCGCCGCACGCTGAACACGTCGTATTTTGACGACTCTCCGTCGACCGGCGGGATGGGAATTCTTCGGCATGTCTCGCACGGGAAACAGATGGCGTCTGGATGCGTTGATGACTGTCGGGTTCTCTGTTCGTGCGAGAGCTTGGCAGCGACATCTTTCTAACGCTCGTGGTGGAACGTACGGACGCGTGACGACGTGGAGGTTTTCCCATGCCGTGAAATTATCCTGAAAGTATGACAGTATTGCCATCTTAGGGTTTATTTACTACATTTACTTCCCGGTGCTTTCCCCTGGTGCTTTCCATATGTGGGTGGTAGCAGAGGAGTAAAGCAATTGAGAAGTGCATCGTGGTGGAATGACATGCTTTGCTGCCAGCTTGCTTTGCCATTTGCATGCGAACTGGGAGGGGCTGGTTTTATTCGCCACCGTAAATAATACCACGGAGGTGATTTTGGCGGTCCTGGTGCATCTTGTGCATGCCAGATTTGAACTTCCAGTCATGCTAGAGCTTAAATGCTACTTCAAGCTTCCTGCGAACCTTGCAATGGCCCTTGGTGCCAGCCTCCAGCTAGAGTGCATGATCTGTCACTTAACTTGCCTGTGTAATGTATATTTCGAAAAAATTTAAAAAATTGTGAATGTACAGTTCGCTATGTATAATGCCACAGGTTTAGTGGGTAGACGTCTGCATCTACGATTTAGATCCAGAAGGTTAGGCCAATGTATCTAGAATCATATAAAAATGCTGTATTTATATTGCTCTTTGCATACATTGCACACTGCATGTGGCTTTACCTGTTGCTTTATGATGGTGAACTGCCAATTTATAAACTTGAATTTTGGCCAAATTGTTGCTTGCCGGACTCAAGGACGTTGCCGGAACCTGCAGTCGTTGTTCCCTTTTGTAGTGCTGCTTGGGTGCTTACTAGGTATGCTAAGATTAACCATACGGCTGCTATCGCATATTGCCTGCTGCTTACGTTAGTTACACTATCTTCTAATAACTGCTCCGTAGCCTCTCGATACTGGCAGCTTTTCTCGAATCTAATATCCCGCGTCATGCCATTTGTGGCGTGGCACGCATGCGTTAAGGTTAGACTAATTTAAGTGAAAATAATTCGGGCATGACGCATGGTAGTTTGCTGCATTATGCGCCAACGGACGGAGAAATACGCGACAGTGGCGCGCAGTTTGACACGAGTGATGCTTCATTCCCCAAAGATGACTCACATTAACCTCATCACATCTTCCGCACAACCCAGCCACTGCCACCCCGCCACCAACTAGACTGCCTATACGTACAGAGTGTTTAGTTTACGTAATATAGGATGAGATTCATTACTTGCAAGAAGTCTATCAATGCAAATGAGAATCCTAATATGAATAATTAGCCTCAGAATGGTGATAGATACATCTATTATCAGTTAATGCATTAACATGGGTCCCATAAAACACCAGTCGTATGTTAAAGCCAGTCTATCCACCAAAGTCTGTAAGCGAAACCATATACCTTCTTGTCAGCACTTAGTGATCCAGGTTCTACCTTTATAACGCTACTCTATGGTGGGCATGGCCACTTTTACCAAAACCAATGCAACTTACCACATATAAATAATCCCATAATAAATCAGTAAGCATTGACAGTCTGCAGCACCTTCAACAAATACCAATATTCTCTTATATGGTTGTGGTCATTAGATGTTGCTTCCATATCCCACCTAAGCCAGCTGTGTAGTTAGAACCACCTACAAAGAGTCTTGGCGTGCTACACGGCTTCTGGTTTTTATAACTATGTATTGGGGGAGTATAGACCATGTTTGCGCGTACGTAGGCTGGTAGGTGTAGATAGCTATTGCTATAACACATATGTACTGCTCGCTCATTAAGCCAGTACATGTTTGCACTTGTATGTATCCTCCATTAAAGTGAACACCTTTTTGGAACCCTAATTGTCTTGCAAAGGGAGCAAGAGTAAGAGAGGAGAGCGGGAGTGAGTGTGTGCGAGAGAGGGAATATGGCGGCATTTAAGATAAGTGGCAGGGTGTAATGCATGAGAGGTCCAGCGAGGTAGTCAATAACTTACTAGCACCTTACGGCCGAGCCATGTGTAGGACACACTGGTAACTTATTGATCAGAACAGCTCTTACTCAATACGATGTGTTTAGTACTCCGTACGAGTCCCTTGAGTTTTGCCATGCAGGTTGTATTGATTGAATTAGGTAGAAACGATGGGTGCTATCCTTGCTGCTCTCACTGGCAGTTGAACTTGCTGTAACACGTGCATGATTGATCTTAAAATTTTCCCCGTTTTCCCAATTTTTACTGTCATCGTGGTATAGACAAGGCAGGAGGTGCAACGTTCGTCACATTATTAGTTTTCAGGGATCCCATGGCAGGCAGCCAATGCAGACGGTATTTTAAACTGTTTTATAAGAGTGCAGAACGTATGGTGACGTGTTATATTACTTGTAGCGAGGTTTGGCCTTATTCTAAGTTCTTTTTTGGGCAGTACAAATGAAAACTAGTTGAATTGCACGTGCTTTATTAAATATTATAAAAGGTCTTATATACTTGCATGCTAACTGTGAAAGAAGATGTTATCAAACTCGTCCTAAGTACCTCACCATGGGCGTCATTCATATTAAATCTTTAAGTACCCACTTGTCATAAAGGAAATTATAATCAATAATGCCCAGTTTTACTGCTTGTACTAATTAAACAGCGGTTCATCATATAAATGTGTATTTAAGGCTGCTGTAGGTGGCAGTCAGTAACAGTGCTTAGAAAGTGTCCAAGTCCTAACTGAGTTCAATTAAACCCGTTATAAAACAACTTCCTTACGTGTCAACCATGTATGTTCTGAAATATTTAGGTACGTGTGTAGTAGCCTCCCAAACTTGGACCAACTCCGTTGACTTGTGTTTACCGTGGATTGGGAATGCATATGATACTCGTGGCATGTGTAATACAAGGATAAGTGTGAGGGTGGGTGGGCGCTCACGTATTCTGTTTGCTACGTGGGTGTGTGTATTACGGTGTATGCAGGGACTCCGGTGCATAGTCTCTAGGTGAGGTTGCTCGAATCGTCTGAATTCACTTTGGCCTTTGCATAATAAGTGAGCGATATTGCGCGGCACCTTGCTTCTGTCTTTGTGGCGTCTACCGTTTATCAAACGCATCACTAATATAAAAGTTTTGCATGAGCGTCATATTGTCCTTCCTTATTTATTTGAACGTGTTGTGTAAATGTGATTTTTTATGTGTTTTGTTGTTGTGTCTAACTCTGTTGTTCTGTGGCGTCTGTTGCTTTCTCGTGTTTTTTTAAAGAATTAACATTTTGTCTCGATATTTCGATGGTTCATCGTGGTTAATGTTTTGAATATAATGAAATTGGAACTTGTTGAATTTTGTACAAATTTTTCGAGATAACATCTGCTGGTTTTTTATGTAGTCATGCTATCATCAAGTGAGGCATTATATGTGCTTTCAAATTCTTTAGCGTAAATAGATGCACTAAAAAACGTTTTCGTGTAATTTTATGCCCACATAAAGCAAGGTGATGGAATTAGGTTCCAAAACTCGGTGGTAAGAGAAGCTGTCATGCGGACTTCCGTTAGCTGTTTTTTTTCATGATCTAGATAGTTTAATTCGTATCGATAAACGTGCGTAGCCGCCATCTTTGGAAGCATGTTGCGTGCAATGGATTCCAGCGACAATGCTGAAACTCATGCTGAGACAATTTCCTTTCAAAGATGCGTGCCTGTGAAGAGTTGTCCCTGCAGTGTTGTGGATGTAATGTGACGTCGTCATTTATCGTCTGCAGCCCTCCAGGAATTGATCAGACCCCACAAGCGTGGTGGTTGGATATCACGTCACCATGGCAACATATGCGAGCGTCTGCTGACGTTAAGCCTCGCTTGCATATTTGCCGACGTCGTGGCATTCAGCTGCTTTTAATTGCGCCATTTGTTAAAGTTTGATAGTTACATTCGTTTCCGAATACCGTCTCATCAAGGTTATTATTATTCACACGGAAATGATCTTTTTACCTATAATAAGACTGTAAATGTTCCTCCAAGTTTAGCTTGGTTGAATTTCTTTACATGTCTCTAAAAGAATAATGGTACATAATAGCACCCTGGTACATCTCATAACATGTTAAAGATGTGCAAGAAATCTGAGCAGTAAAGTACTAAAGCTTAAATATAATTGAATTAAAATTGCAGGCTTTATTAACATTCCTCCCCTACCAGCTATTTACATGGCAACAATACGTGGTAGCTAGGTAGGTGCTGTACATTTAGTGTAGAAAAGTAATTTTTACACTAGCATTTAATTTTGGTAACAGCAACAGAAATAGGTAGACATCATATGCCTTGCTTTATGAGTGGATATATAATATAGGACACGTATGTACATAGATATATATATTATATATGTATATGTGTGTGTGTATATATATATATATATGTATGTATATATATATAATATTATCATGGATATTTAAACAATGAGTGGTGACAAGGTTTAATACATACGTGCTAATAACTGGTGATAGAACTTGCATCAACTAATATAATTTTCACTTATCTTGCTGTAATTTGGGCTATGCCATGGAGTCAAGCGAGCATGATTGATCAGAGACCCTTTCCCTTGTTGCTGTGGGCTCTAATAATTGCCTCTCTTCGTTGATGCAATTCTACTCGCCATTGGCTTTGAGCAGCTCCCTCTGTGTGCAGTATCTGTAACTTTCCAGTATTTCCACTCTGCAGATTACTTACACGATCGTGTGGACGCGACAAGGCGCAGCGCTGCCTGGTGGCGCTACGGATAGGAATGGCGTCTTGACAATCCCGAATGTGCGACAAGAGGACAGCGGCACTTACATCTGTACAGGCTCGAACCTGTTTGCAACTGCTGAGGACCGAGCGACTTTGTCCATCACATGTGAGCTTACCGCCCTAATAGGGGAGGGAAAATAATATTGACGAGGTCGTATAATAATGTGGGTCACCAAAACATTGAGCAGTTGGTTCTTCTCCTTATTGTTCCCCTGGAAGAGGGCTGTCAGACTCTAAACGACAAGACCTGCATTCCTGCAACGTTTTGGTCGCGCTCTCTCTCTTCTCTCTTGCTGCTTCTTCCTGGAATCGCGTATGCATTGGTTGATTGCCACACAGTATCGCGTCTACGGTCGGGACAGCGATGACGTGTAACTTACTGCACATTCTGTGTGTGTATGTGCTTTTTAACGGGACAGAGATGACGTGTCAATTACTGCACATTCTGTGGGTGTGTGCTTTTTATTGGGACAGCGATGACGTGTCACTTACTGCGTATTGTGTGTGTGTGTGCTTTTTAACGGGACAGCGATGACGTGTCACTTACTGCGTATTGTGTGTGTGTGTGTGCTTTTTATCGCGACAGCGATGACGTGTCACTTACTGCGCATTGTGTGTGTGTGCTTTTTATCGGGACAGCATCCGCTCTGCAAGCACCAAGCGTCAGGATCGAGCCAAGGTTCCAGACGGTGAACGCGGGCGATCCCGTCGAGTTCCAGTGCATAGCCGAGGGATCTCCGCAGCCAACGCTTGAGGTGAGAGGTCAAGCCGTACTGTTGCCGTGTCTCCCGCAGGTTGTGCAGTCAGTCTGTAGCCAAATAGTTGCAATTGTCTCCTTGATGTGATCCTAGAGGTGAAGATGGACATTTGTTTAGCAGTGCTACCGGATGGGGGGTTTATTGATGTAAGCCTATATATAGTATTGACAGTAGCAGTAGCAGTAGCACATCTTGGTAGTTTTATACATACAGGACTGTGTATAGAATTGAGATCGGTGCCATATACTTGTGGGTGTGCGTGGCAGAAATAACAGTGGCGCCTATTGCTGGTGTTACGGCTGCATAACGTGTGAATTTTACGCTCTCGTCACCTATTTTTGTTTAAATAGTTGGTTTTGTAGAAAGAGGAATGTGTGTGGCAATGCGAATGGTTTTACCTATTGTACATGGCTTATTGAGTGTTTCTGGTAACACGAGATGTGCTGTGTTCACAGTGGACTGGAGGTAGGAACAAGGAGTTGAACCCGGAATCGTCGTTCGTGAATGGTGTGTTCCGCATCCCGCGCGCACGAGCCGAGGACGAGGCTACCTACTACTGCAAGGGAACGAACCCAGCCGGCAGCAGCGACGTACGAACAGTGCTGTTCGTCAAGCACGGTGAGTCGACGCGTAACAGTTGAACGTGCTTCTCGTCAAGCACGGTGAGTCGACGCGTAACAGTTGAACGTGCTTCTCGTCAAGCACGGTGAGTCGACGCGTAACAGTTGAACGTGCTTCTCATCAAGCACGGTGAGTTAACGCGTAACAGTTGAACGTGCTTCTCGTCACCAGCTCAAATGACTACGTGCTTGTAGACGTGCCCGGACATGTAGGATGGAATTTTTAAGCATATGGGCTACTGTGCACACTGGATATCTGGATATATGAGATTACAGGTGTATGGGTGTAGGGGCAGGGTTAGCAGTTGCTCACACTGGACAAGCCTCTCCTGAACAACCGTCTCATTTTGCACGTACTGCCCAAAGGATGTTATTCTTGGTAGAGTCTGAAATACTGAGCTGGTCATCAGTGCCTTTGCATCAATAGTGACACGATGGAAGATGGTTATTGCAGTGCACGTGTACTAAATTTTATGCTATTTTCAGTCTATCATAATGTGAACTTTCGACCTGTTTTGGTGTGCTATAAGAAGCTCTATTAGTAGACATGTATGGACGTGGGAGACGAACATGTTTGACCATAAGGGTAGACATGTCTGTACATAGAATGGACATATTCGATTATAGGGGTAGACATGTCTGAGCATGGGGGATGTGCATGTTTGACTCTAGGGCTAGACATATCTAGGCATGTGGGATAGTCATGTCTAGCAATAGGGAAGTAAAATTTTGCAGGGGTGTTGAGGGTCGTGAGCGGGCGAAGGTGATCGTGTTTGCTTTTGTCTCTTCAGAGGTTGGCGTGCCAGTTGTAACTACAAACGTGCAAACCGTGGAAGTGATGGTAGGAGGAACTGCTGTATTCAATTGTGAGGCATCTGGTGACCCCACACCAGTGATCAGGTCAGACACCTTAGGCCACGTTGGTTCACGCTTTCCCATACATAATTTGTGTGTCTGTGGAAACCAGGCCATTCTCAGAGTAATCCAGATACTAGGATTAAACTTAGAACTTCTTAAGCTAATAATTGTCAGAAATATATACCATCTTTACAGCTAACGTTGATGAATCAGAACTTGTCATTTAATGTTGTCATAAGGTCGTCAATTTAATGGAACAGTATAGACTGTGTCTATTTTGTATGATAGCAAAGTTTAGACAATTCCGAAGGCATTTCATAAAACCAGACGAACAGTGTACCAAATTAGTGGAGCGCTAGTCTTGATGTACCATCAGAATCCATGCTGACTAGAGATTGTTCATGATAATGCATTTGTTACTGACAAATGCCTTACATGGTTGGGAACAGATTTAATAGGATATAGCTTGTTTCATGCAGTTGGTCGAGAGAAGGCACGAGGGGAGGTCTCCCTCGGGCTAATAGCGTTAGCAGAGGCACACTCACCATGCCGAATGTGCAACGATCTCACGAAGGCGTGTATGTGTGCTCGGCCACCAATTCGGCTGGAACAACAGACTCTAGAGTGACCCTTACCGTCGGTGAGTGCACGTTACAGTGTCACCTTGAGGGGGCATGACTTCGGTGACACTCCCTTGACATCTATACTTTCATCACTTTTATTTTAGCTAACTGTGTGAAGTTCTTACTGGCGATGGTGTTGGTGGTGATTGTGTAATGCTTAAAGATAATACCCATATGCATGGTTGCTATGCATGTTAGCTGTTGAATATTTAATTCAATGATGCCATGTCTTTTTTCCCTTTTCTCTGGAATAATTTGCTTGCATGGGTGTGTGACGGTTTGTGCTATTAGCAAACAACATTTTCTTATTGATCCTGCATGATTGGTATCACCAACGATGATGTTCTTACCCGTAACCTGATTGACTACCACATGAACTAAAAGCACTCGGATTAGCCTGGTGTAGTGGTGAGCTTCCACTGATAGACCAGCTAACGAGCCAACCTAAGACGTGTGACTTCTTCTCTCCTTGTCCTGATGGCTATAAGTGCAGCATGGGTATTGCATTCGCGCCCATCTGCTGTCCGCATAACGGTACTATGGCTTATTGTTTTACCAAAAATACATCAATACTATAAATATTATTATATAGACTCTATATAGTATTACTATATAGTACTGACATGTATTTTTGCGTTTGCTAATGCTATGTTGTTGCGATACGTCTGTCATCCAACTATTTGATTGAATTGCTATATAAACTAACTGGTTCTGATTAGTTAGGAAACACTATCAGTCAGATATTCTTTGGTAAGTTGAAGCACCTGCTATAAGCTGATATTCAAGCACATATGTTTTCTTGTCGAATAATAATTGGAATGACCCACTGCACTGCTGTTTTTGTGTGTTAGTGCATTCACAATTTAGTGGAAAGCAAGTGTCACGAAATTTTTAGTTTACGTTATTTGTAAAGCCAAGTCGAATGTTGAGGTGGATATTAGAAAATGATTATATCTCATGATAAAAAACGGTGTCATGTGATTTTTGTGTATTGCAAATTCAGCTTATGGCAGATATTATTGTAACAATTGATGATGTTGTTAGTATTAGATTGCATGCTACAATACTAATGGAATGTAGTGTGAAATAATAGTGGTAAGCTGGTATTATAACTATATAGCTGGTTTTGCATAAGAAAAAGGAAGAAGATGCTTGTTCACAACGAGCAGATTTATTCGTGCATGTCTGTGTATATGTGTAGGAAGGGAAAAGGGGTGGAAGTAGTCAACAAAGAAAAGGTAGGTGCAATTTTAGTGGGCAGTCAGAGCTGCAATGTATCTGCAGCAGTGCTCCACCTAGAGTCTTCACTGTTTCCACCATCCAATTATGCTGATAGCTTAACAATCTATTTTCAGCACCAGACACGCCCGGCCCACTGACCATGGTGCCACCGGAGATTGAGATTGAGCCAGACAGGCAGACAGTGGGCCAGGGAAACACCGGAACGCTGCGTTGCATCGTGCATCGTGGTAATCCTCCACCCACCATCACCTGGACTCGTCAGAACGGAGAAATCACAAGCAACCACATAGTACATACAGTTTTCATTGTTCTGTCACCTCCCAACACACCCTCGCGCTACGTCTTAAGCGTCAGAATAGGCTCCCGTGATAGTCGCCAGTTTGCAACAGTGTGACATACAATAATTGTCATTTGAGTGTATAAACCTCCAACTCTAGTAATAGTATCTAGCGTAAACGCAGAGCGGACTGTGGCACAGTCTGCCAGTGTGTTTTCACACACCTTTCATGCGAGTAACAACAGGGAAATACATTGATAGGGTTATCGTATTGGATCATACTTCATCGCAGCTGTCTTCCATTAGAGGGTGAGCATGAGAAGTACTGTGCAACAGGTTTCATCTAAAATGTGCATGCGTGCGTACGTACGTGCCTGCGTGCGTGTGTATGTATATATACTATTTTCTGTGTAGATTCAGAATGATGTGTTGAGGATCCAGCATGCGACGGTCGACGATCGTGGAGTCTACATTTGCACGGCACAGAGTCCTGCCGGCCTCGCTTATGTGTCCGCCGTCGTAGAAGTCGAACGTAGGTACCCGTACTCGTACAGAAGACGCCTCAGGCGCCTCAGACGCATCCGACGTCACTAAGAAGAAACCCCCCTCTCTGTGTGCGCGCGCGACCAGGGCGAGTGGCGCCCTCACGTGCGCCGTCGCCCGGCACGTGGTGATGCTCTTGTGTTACCACAAGTGATTGCCGTGGGCGGACGAGAGGCCAGTAAAATTTTGCATTTATCAGAGCCAACAGCACGTGCATTTTTGTCGGATTGTCGTTGTTTCTATGCAGATATGACTTTATATCTTATCACCGGCTGCACGCTAGCTTTTAATACATGGATTTCTGCACCAGTAGTTCTTGTGAACATACACTCATGGACAGTAGTTATACTATGGCGCCAGCATGCTAGTGGTGCCACCACTTAGATGTTATTAGTATGTCAATTAGCAGATGCACCTGAAGCACATAGTTTTAATATAGTCCAAGTAGCAGACACTGTGTAAATGGAATTGTAATAGTGTGTGGTACTTACTATTCACAGTGTGCTGTAAAACTTGATCTGTGTATCAGCATGTCACTACAGTAATGAACGATATTAAAAAATAAATGTTTTCTTTCTTTCTTTACATTATTATTATTTTTTCCTACTTTCTCAATTTATTTTATTTTTTTTATTTCACCACTTTCTTGAGTGTCACTCGTTCTAGTTTGTCAGTTCTCCAGATCACCGTCCTTCTCTGTTGCGTAACTGTAGACTCTTTTGTGGGTGTTTGCATGTGTATGACAGCCCTCGATAATTTGCCTTTCTACACTGAGCACAGAGGAAACCGATCGTTCAATGGTACCAAAGTCCTTCCATCCACTAGCAAGTGTCAGCCACAGGAGGTGCCTGCTATTGTCGGCACCTGCTGTATAAGCTGTATGCACTCGCTATTTGGTGAGAATGGACTTCGTAAACGGGCCTCAAGTTTGTTGACGTTAGAAGTGGCCGCTTTGCTGGCCAGTGCTGCATCAAAAACTTGACTGTCGAACAATCTGGATTTTCTCAAGCACATACTGTGAGCTAAGGGTGATTGCCACGCAGAGCAAGCAAACTATACTACACATTCATTCTCTGTCTCACTCTCACTCTCGTTCTCACTGTCTCTTATCTCACGATGGTCACCGAGTTTCCTTGTACGGCGTGTGTCCTTCCCACCTGTGTCATGTATATGCCGATATCGCGCGAGCCGAAGGTGCAAGTGCAATAAAAACTCCGCCTGGAGCCAGAGGTTTTGCTCAACCGGCTTTGTAAAACTAAACTCGTCACAGTTCATCACACTAGTGTGGAGTTTTGAGCCTTCTGCTACTGGAAACAAGCTCACGACACCAGGTAAAAACTAGCCGCAAACCTCTGCTATCAAGTCGTCTTGCTTCGCAATAGTGCTTCGTAGGCAGTTGTACCATGTGCATATATATATATTATATATATATATATATATATATATATATATATAAATTATTATATATATACACAATATATATATATATGTATATATATATATAATATATAATATATATAATATGTTATTACTATCTCGTGCACTTGTTACTCTTTGGCTTCGCTTGGTTTTTGTGCTTACTCTTGTTCTTGACTCTGTCTCTATTCATCACCGTTCATTTTTATTTACCTATTTATGTTTTTCTACATTTCTCTTTTTTCGCTGTCTGTCTTTTTTTTATTATGGATTCTTTGATGTTTTTTTTCTGTCATTGCGGGGGGTTTTGTTTTTTTGCTCTCTGTCTGTTTTTTTTTTGTCTTGGTTCTTTTGTTTTTTTTTGTAACGTCTTCATTTTGTAGTTTTTTGCGTCTTATTCCCTTGTCGGTTTTCTTGTTCAGTTCGTCTCAGATTTTGTCGGGTTCGTTCTTTTCTGGTTTTTTCCTTTGTCTTTCTCCATTTTCTCTTTCTGTTTCATTATAATGGTTGACGTCATACTATTGGTTTTCTCGTTTTTTTCTCACTTTAGTTTTCTTCATCTTCTTGTTGTTCTTTGTCTTTTTTTCATGGTCTCTTCTATCCAATTTACATGATAAAGAAATTTGATGAGTAAATGGACGTTACTAACGCTTTTCTATTAGTGCCGGTAGAATTATATTATCACTGTCCACTGTCAGCAATCTGATCTCACCTTGCGCTCTCTGTCTTACTTCTCTAAGACAGTACCCCCCTGCTGTATTCCAGCACCAAGTGTGCATAATGCCTTCTGGTGGCAACAGTTGCTTATAACATTCCTGCTCTAGTTAAAATTCATGATCCCTCGCAGCACAATGCTCATTCCCACTCCCCCATCAGGCCACACTGCGGATAGGACATTATGAGAAAGAGGCTACTGCTTGTGGAAGAATAGGCATGCAAGCTGACTAATAGAGCTTGTCTTGTGTGCACAACCTCTCATGGATGTAATCAACTGCATTTAAATTCGATTGGTCATTATGAGTACAAGTCTCAGTGTCTGCGAAATGGTGGCTCTTTATGAATTCCCTGTCAGCTAACAACGAATGTTTGAAGTGAATGGCAATGGCAAGGATTTGAGTGAGTTATGACCTAGCTTGTATATGACGTCCAGTTTTCTTGTCACATCCAGTGGTTCAGATAATGCTCTTATTATCTCACTTCCTCAAATTCGCATCATAGTTTTGCATTAATCGCGCATCCCACTAATTATATGACTGGACACGTTTTATTCTTGTTGCTGATGCAATAGATGATTTCTGGTGGCTGTGGCATGTTAGTTGCACATGTAATTGTGTCGATCATTGTTTAGAACATGATTTTTAATCGTCTCCATTAACCATACTTTCGGCCTCTTTATGCTCTTTCCATGTGTGCATTTTAGTTGAGTTTCTTGTCGTCTATGTTGACACACGTGTATACACGTACGGCTGCACAACATACGTATACACATGTACCTACACATACCCAAACGTGTGCTCACTCACGCACACACGCCTACGAGCACAAGCACACGCACACATACCAACATGCACACAAACACGTACGTTATGACATGCATGCACGCACGAACTTACACACATACATACACGTGCTGGCAGTAGCATGCTTATTTAACAAATAGATGTGGAATAGGCTATTGCATGTTGTATTAGTCTTGCTATGTTTTTGTAGATAGCCACTATCTTTGCCTGGTATTTTGCATTGTGCACTGGTTTACAGTCAATAACTATTGCGATGATTTCAACATAAATATTGCAATAATTATCACGAACGGTCACAGGTACTGGCACGCTTCATCAGAGACAGTGCATTGTGGTGTTGTCGTTCATGCTTGCAAGGCTATTGCACCTGGTAATGGCGGTCTTGCGTGCGTAAAGAAGTATCAAATTGATTAATGCTTTAACCTATGGCAGAGCGTGGCACCAGGGTTGTCTTCTCTTTGGGGGTTGGGAATGAGCAACCCGCTACCCAGTGACGAGGCAACTCCCATTGACGCACTCATCCACTATAGGTCGAGAACGTCCTGAGCTGGAGATCTTCCCAAGCACCGAGCAGTCGATTTCAGCCGGGTCTAGTGTCTACTTCCAGTGTAGAGTCACTGGTGGTGAGTATTAGTGCAGGTCAGGCCTGCACACACATACTGCACGCTAATGTGTTTTAACCAATTGGCATAAAACTGATTGTTTAGTGCAAAAAAAGTAAGCAAAAAATTTCATTATAATAAAGTGTAGTAAACCATTGGCAGTACGCCTACATGACGCAGCGTTCTCCTCATCCCTATTAAAACTCGTGATTTCCTGCTAGCTTGTGGAGTCGACATCAACTGATCGTATATTTTGGCAGGCATACCGGACCCGGTCGTTACCTGGGAACGTGCCGATGGGGAGGAGTTCACCCACAACACGCAGATGTTCGCAGAGAGCGGCGTTCTACAGTTCAACGCGGTCGAGGGATCCGAGCAGGGAACCTACATCTGCACCGCGTCGAACGATGCGGGCCGTGTCAGCATCACGGCCAGACTGCGGGTTGCAGGTGTGTGCAGGGCTCTCAAGGGGTAGCTTTAAAAATGAGTGAGATTTATTTTGAATCAGAAACGCTAAGGCCGTAGGCGCGGCAGGCGCGAAGGGGGTGGACGGAGGGAGGGGGTTGTCCCCCCTCCCCCGATAGGAATTTTTTTTAAAATGGGGTGCTATTTGATGCCCTCAGCAGCAATCTGAACATGATATTTGTTGCTTATATAAGCAAGAAAAACTGGATTCGTGCAATTGCGTGAGATTTTCGGGGACTATCGGAAATGTGCGTGGGAGCGTGAGATTGTGCTGAATTGCGTGAGTCTCACGCCAAATGCGTGAGGCTTGTGAGCCCTGTGTGTGCCACACGAGATGGCAGGCGCAGCAAAGAGATCATGTCATGCGCAAGCGCGCAGCGCCTGTTTTGATCAAATTGTAACTGGTGTAACCAACATGGCGCCTGTTTTTATCAAATTTTCTCGTGTGCAACCAACATGGCGCCTGGTTTTCATATTTTAGCTGGTGCAGGAATTTTCTGAATCACTATAGTGGCATAGAGCTGTTAGTCAGTTGAGCACTGAACTGGGCCTGAATAATATAATTATAGTGATTGTTATGTATATTTATAAGAATTTCATTATGTGTGAGCCTTGTGTTGTTTCTTGCTTTCTTTCTGTGTGCCACCAGTGTTCATCACTGTGTAACGTATCATATCGCCTTTGTGCAGGACCCCCACGTGTGATGATCTCCCCACCAGATAACCCAGCAAAGGCGAAGGAGGGATCTGTTGTGAGGCTGGAATGTATTGCTGAGGGTGATCCAGCACCCGAGGTCTACTGGGAAGATGCTTCTGGCAGGTATGTCTTCTCCTGCACGTCTGATACTTTACTGCTGTCACCGTGCAATGTTCAGAATGAGATTTAAACTGATAATAATCTGACTGATTTTAACCAATAAATATCTCGTAGGTGAAGCAGAATGTAAAGGTGCTTGAATCGCCAACATTGTCACAAACCAATGTTTACATTGTTGATATTTTATACAGATAGTTTTTGTGCTGATGCTTTATATTGTAACGGTTTTATAATCTCATATAAACTATCACATCTATTTCCTGAGAGGTTTCCATGATAAGTATAAATTTAGTACTCATGTGAGCTATTCGAATTAAAACTTCATTGCAAACCACTGTCGGAAAATCATTCATGTGAAAACCTAGTTCGTGTTCAATGCATACCCCGATTCGTTGCATATCAGCACCGCAAGTATTCACGTGTATTTCACGATGGCGGCATGTCGTCGGCAGGTTCCTCACGCTCATCGGTCACCGCGTTTCAGTTCTTCTCTACACAATGTCTGCATGGCACCGTGATGCTTGCTGACTCGTGGTTCGCGTCGCTCGCTCACGTGTTTTGCACGTGAGCGACACGTGCGCAGCCTTGATCGTGACATCACCTTGTAGCTTCTCGCCCCGGGCGACGAGGCGGCAGCTACAAGTCGCAGTGATTCGCGAGTCCTTATACGTCGGCCCCACAGTTATACGTGTCACCCGATTGTTGTTCGGCTCGTGTCGTCGTCGTTCGCAGTATAGTATCTCACGCAGGCTTCGGGTGCGTGTGCACGCGTCGCTACCGTGACCGGCCACAGTCTCTGTTTCTCGCACGGCTTTCCCACCGTGACGCTGCCAGCGACAGAATGCTGAACGAGCAGCTGCAGGGAGCACTGATCTGGGAGTAGCTTTAACGATAATGGCACGGTAGAGTCATGTGCGAGGTGCGGCCGCGTGAACAGAGACTGTGTGCAGGTGCGCGAAACCCCCTTCACCATCCAGGTCATGTGTACCGCAATCTCTCGCTCACCAAAGGTATTACCACTATCACCTTTCAGGGAGAGATCTGAAGGGCAATCAACGCTTGGATTGTAAGTTGCATTCTACGTCTCACTGGCTGATCATTCATTCATTTTTATGCTGTAATCCCGCATTCGACATATAACGCTGTATGTGTACTCGGTATCGTCGACTCATTTCGTAACATTTGTTTTCCTCATATTTTTACTACTTTGTGCTTGAGGTCTATGTTTAACCTCGTCTCCCAATGTGCTGCATCTAGAGTTTGAAACCCGGGGCGTGTGATGTCCACAGATGTAGCTTGTCTCTGTGGCGTACTGGGGGTAACTTCTAATTTTGTCACCACTCCTAATATGGCATCATGCATAGTGGCTCCCTCTCATAGTTTGTGCTCACCATTAAGCGCCTGCTATAGTCGTTAGTGTGATGAAACATTGTCATTTGGTTCCTCATTAATACCAAATCATCACTATCGGTTTCCCTACGTCAGTTGTCATGTGAAATTATGGGTAACATTGAGAACATTTTCACTATTGGATATATGGTAAGGGCTCATTTGCATTGATTCTGCTTTATTTGGTCAACGTGAGAATAAAACTTAGAACAAGATATCTGCCTGACCTTTATAGAAAACGTTATTGCAAATGTGATTGCTAATGTTATATTGGCATATGGAAAAATGTCCTTGCACACCGTCAGGACTATGAATCTATATGTATTCTATTATACATAGATTCATGTTAAAACTGAGAGACAAAGTTAACCACTCCACCCTCGCTTCATTATTATTAGTTGCTGCTACTACAGAAAGATTTGATATGAATGCAATAGTGTTTAGCATTCATTACTCGTGCTAGGTAATTACTGCAGTACTTGCATCTCAAGATTTGTTAATTTGTAGATCGATGGAAGCTATGCATGTCAGACTAAGAAAACATCAAACACTCTTAATCTCAGTCAGTGCACAAAGATGTGTGTACAGCTTTCTAACAAATGGCTGCTCACTAAAACAATTACTCTAATGCAGAGAATTATTTAATGACACCTGACAGCTATGTCACTAATTACAGATGGTTGCAGCATATTGCCGTTTGCAATTTAAATACGTTAATTTATTAATATACTGATTAAATATAGGTAGGAAAAGTATACGCATGGGATTTTCTCGATGTACTTATAATCGTTTTTGTCAGGTTTGGTTATTTGGGAGTGTATTTAGCATTACATCGTCTACTACAAATCGTCTGTTGATGTGTTTTCTCGACAAACCATAACTCCCGGTTGTGTTTTTATAGTATGATGTTTTATGCAAAGTTACAAGTTCTTGAGAGCTGGTCTTTCAGTGATTTTGCTATATATACTTGTGTGGTATATGGTTAGAATTTTTTAAATACATTTTGCTCTATTCAAAAGCAGACATCATTTTCACGTATAATGCATGTATCATGATGACCTTTGAATAGAAGGTAGTTCACTCTCATGTACGAGTTTACTTGCAGTATTAACGCTTTTTGCTGCCAGAGGTGTATGTCGTATATCATAATGTTACATTGTCATTTACATTCTCGCATATTTAACATGCTTTTCTCAATCATTTACATCAAGTGTGGGAATTTCTGCATCTGCTGAGATGCAGCTTGAGGCATGAGCTGACACATATCTCGTATGTGTTTGCAGGGAGCTACCAGGCAAGCACACGAGTGCGGGGTCATCTATCTTGGAAGTCGTCAACATTCAGTTGAACGACGCGGGCAGCTATGCCTGCGTTGCACGCAACACCGGCGGCACATCCCGCAAGACTGTGCAAGTCATCGGTAAGTTGACTGCGTTGCTGAAGGCTCGTGCTTTATAGTTCATTACGTTTTCTGTGTACAGGACACCTGTGTGGACGTGGTGATTGAAGTGAGATCATTTAAGCCGTTGTAAGCTTGTAACACTTATATCTCTCGAAAATCTTTATAATGTAAGAATAAAAAATGGTCTGTAGAATCATCGTGTGTCCTATGTATTGTGTGTGTGTATTGACTAAACACGTACAATATGGTGAATACATGTGGTCCTCTGAATAGTCATTCTAAAATGAAACAAACGCTGTAGGTCTGTACTGACAATGCGTGTCTATTTTTCCCCTTGCTGCTACAGTCAGGAAAAAGCGCAGATATCGCGAAGATCGTGGTAAGTACGCCCTCTGTAGTCAGAAACGTCGTTGATCATTGTCGTAACTCTTCTATGTTCTAATCTCGTTGGTCTGTGTCTTACAACAGTGGAGGCAGCTGACCAGATCGCAACAGGAGGAGTGCAGGTTGTACCGCGCGAGGTCACCGTCAAGGAAGGTCAAATGATTGAGCTTAGCTGTAAGATGTCAGGTACGTATGTTGAATGGCAAGTGTATATCTTCTTCTTCTTGGGTCACTACACTACACTCGACCTAGTCACTGCAGCATACGGTCGTTGAAAACCTCAAGGTCTCCAGGTCTACAGGACTGTATAAGGTGTAGTGTGGTGTGGTAGAAGGATTCGCAGGTGGGAAACCTGACAGGGGCCGCGGCGTGAACGCTCCTTCTGTGGCCCCCGGCAAGTATATATGCGTGTGGGAAGTATACGATCCTTTCGATGATATTCGAATTTATTGCAAGGCACATGAACGGCCACAATCGCATGCATTACCCCCGCCGTCTCTCTCTATTCAGGCCAGGTGAGGAACTTGCAGTGGTCGCGGCTCGGCGACCAGCTGCCCGCCGGTCACAGCGTCACGAACGGCGTGCTGGTCATCAGCTCGGCGATGGCGCGCGACACCGGTCTCTACATCTGCTCTGCGCAGCTTCCCGACGCGGTCGTCCAGGATACGTCGACCGTCACGGTCATAGGTGCGTGCGCGTGCCGCCGCGCGGATAGATAACGTAGATGTACTACATGCAGTTCACAATCTATTATCCGAAAAGCTCCGAAAACTGAGTTTTTTTTGTGTAGGTCGACTACACACCATTGGCTGCACAAGGTTCACTGCGGAAATATAAATGTGCTTGGCATTACTCATACATATTGTACTCTATTGGTACAGCACATGAAAAACTTGTTGTTTTAGTATTGGCTAGTTGCAGGATATATGGTATGTATATGTGTACTGTACAACCATTCCGAAATCCGAACAATTTCGAATTCCGAAACGTGTCTGGTCCCAAGGGTTTCGGATAATAGATTGTGTACTGTATTAGTATAATACTGGCATATACTCGTGTTGCTTGTTGAGTTTGGGTTTGTTGTTCGTCACCGGCTGTTCGTCCTCTTAATGGAACGACATTCTCATTCTGATTATGTTGTTCTGCCACAGTGCCACCCAAGGTGACAGTATCACCACAAGGAATGCGTCTCAGGCCAGGAGAAACTATCAGAATTCAGTGTAAGGCTGAGGGCACAGAGCCAGTCACAACTGAATGGAGCAAGGTAGGCATGCGGTCACTGGTAGATGGTGCTGTTTTCTCGATGTGTAATTGTCTACATGTTAAAAGCGAAAATCATGTTGATAATGTTGCATGCTGACTGTAATCAATCCTTTAGACTGATGTTTGTTGTGTAACATTGATGTGCCTCGCAGGTGGCTGGAAGCATGAGCCCTGCAGCTACTGATAATGAAGGCCTACTAGAGATAAAGGGTGCGACGGCTATAGATGCTGGAAACTACAAGTGCACAGGCAGCAATGCAGCAGGAAGTACCGCGGCTAGTGCATACATCGTCGTGATGGGTAAGAATCCACGTCTCTATGTAAAAACTCGCAATGCATATAAGATAGAGAAAGATAGTGATATGTATTTAAAAGTGTGATTACATGCATGCGCACATGAAACACCCACACATATGTTATTCACAAGACGAAAAAGGAAGGTAGAGAACGACGTATGAACATCATGCAACTATCCTCAGTGCAGATGTGCATTATTGTGTTTTTAACTTGGTTTTCTAGTTCATGGCACAACATACAATGTATTATCTTGTTAACATATCTGGTGAGGTTTCCACTTGCACTTGTTGCAGTTCCACCGACTGTGAGAATTCTAGAGTCACTAGCCTCAGTATCTGCTGGAGGCTCCCACACCTTTATCTGTAATGCTACGGGCATCCCACGTCCGAACATCCAGTGGACCAGGGACCGTGGTCAACTTCCACCACAGCATTCTGTAGTTGGTGGCGTGCTAAGGTATACTTCACTTCTTTGTTTATGTGCTTAAATAACTGTGTGTTACCACTTGTCAATAATTGTTTGAGCACTGCAATCCGACAGTTCCTTCAGAGGAGCATCTGAGAGAGATTCTGTATTCGAGCATTTTAAAGGAGAGTGGGGTAGAGATGGGAGTCAGTGAGAGAAAAAAAGAGACACTGAGACTGAGACTATGAGATTTCTATGACATAGCCCGCAGCAGCAGCAGCAGCTAAAAACATTTACAGTACATTGCAGCTGCCATGCATCAGGTCATGTTGCTCTCATGCCCCGCAACTTATGTGTAACGTGCGTCTGTCTGCTTGCTTATTGCAGCATGTCAGCCCTGAAAGTGGAAGATTCTGGTCGCTACATCTGTACAGCGTCTAGCGAGGCGGGCCAGTCACGCAGCATCGCTCAGCTCACCGTTGCTGGTAGGTGGCGCTGGTAGTTGAGACTCTCCGTCATTATGTTCTGCGCACACTCGTAGCAGTTGAGATGCAATATTGATATTTGATTATTGCCTATTGAAGATTTTCGCATCATTTGCATCATTACATTGGATTTGTGTCTTAACCTACGCTGTGCAAAATGGGAAATCGCAGTTGTACACTAGAGTACATTATGTAATTGTTTAGTGGTGGTATGGCGGATCTAATTAAAGGATCTACGAAAGATGAATTACACTGAATTCCCCACTAGTCTTTTTTCGTGTAGAAACGACGTTTGTGTTTTCTACTTCAACAGGACGTCATTACGTTGAGGTGTCAGTAGAGAGTGAAAGTGAGATCGCGTCCGAGGGAGGTACCGCCTACTTTAATTGCAAGGGTGTAGGCACACCCCAACCAATCATCACGTGGACCAAGGTGTGCACCTGCTCCATCCAAATGTCCACGAGCAGTGTTTCTGACACTAGAGTTCTACGTTTCCTGAATTAAAAAATGATATTCTAGATATAAATTCACCAGACGAGTTGCACGATTCACTTTGAGCTGCTGTATAAGCTTCCAGATTACGCTTGACGTATGATTTGTGCTAAAGCCACTCTACAGGCGGTTGTGCCATGGTAGTGCCCCCCCTCTCATCCGCTGCACGCTACTCTCTGTTGCAGATTGACGACACGCTACCGTCGAACGCCATCGAGAGTGGTGACGGTCAGCTAACGATCAAAGACGTGATGCTAGACAACGCCGGCATGTACAAGTGCACGGCGAGCAATGCTGCAGGCACCATGTTCTCTGTCGTCTCTCTGCTTGTCAACGGTGAGCGGTAACGCCGACGACGACACGGCGGCGTTGTTGTGTATTTCTCCTGCACATGTAGTGGGTTCACCAACAAACGATGTTTCAATAACGGACACGAACGAACATGTTAGCAAGTGACGGCCATGTTCTTTATTGCCTTCTCGTTTACATCGCTTCACATAGGTGGCGCTGATGGTTGTCTCTTAACAATATCCAACAGGCGTTTATGCCCGTTTATAACATGTGTTCTTCTACAGTGATGTGCAGAACTTCCGTGATTTCTCAGGGTCACGTAGTCCTGCAGCTATATATGCGCAAAGGGTCTACAGTTTCTCGCCCTAATAATTTGTAGCATGTGGTTTTACGTGTAATAACAAAACGTACAGTTTCTCCATCAAATTTGTAACAGGGGTAAATAATAGGGCCCCTTATTGTTGACCTATATTTTCCATTATTCAATCCTGTTGTGTATCACATGGGCTTTGTACACTTTCAGCTCCGCCACGCATTTCCGGGCTGTCGGAAAGTCAGTATGTGAATATTGGAACAGAGGTGACACTCACCTGTGGTGTGAGCGGTAACCCACCACCTACTATCACCTGGCACAAGGTTGATGGCAACCTGCCCCAGTAAGTGTTCACCAACAACCTTCCAGGCACTGTCCTACTGTATTCGTGAAAGTTTCTGGGCATTGTATTTTTCTTTGTTTATTACTATTGCTGGTTTATCGTTATACAGTGATTAAATATTTTTCCACCAGTAAGAATTAGATGTAATAAAGAAGGCTGATATTTCTTTGTATCATTATTACTACACTACATAATCGTTCACTCATTAAATTTTTCACCACGAGGAATACGCTACTGTTAAACGAGAATGAACCAATCGAGATACGTTGACACAGCGATGCGCAATGCTAATCTGTATTTCTTGTAACGAACAAGTATAATCACAGACATTTTACGTCTGCAGGGAGCATTCGGTTGAGGAGGGGGCGCTGACGATGCTGGTGGCATCGGCGGAGGACGCGGGCACCTACGTCTGTACGGTGACGAACATGTTTGGCGTCGTGACGGAGGACGTCAACGTCGAGATCGGCCAGCTGGTGCCGTACTTCTCGCAGAACCCGGTGTCGTACGTCTCGCTGGCGACGCTACACGACGCCTACCTCACCGTCGACATGAGCGTCGCCTTCAGACCCGAAACGACCGACGGTGAGACTCCGTCGCTGTGTGCTGCGCTAGTTGCGTGCAGCGCGAGTTGCGTGCAGCGCGAGCATCGTGCAGCACGAGTTGCGTGCAGCGCGAGTTGCGTGCAGCGCGAGTTGCGTGCAGCGCGAGCATCGTGCAGCGCGAGCCGCGTTCAGCACCCTCGCTACACGGTGCTCGCTCGCGCTCCGTTGATTGTTAACTTGCTTTTCCGCCATGTGGTATATAGGCAGTGCATTGTTTCACGGAGTCGCTACGTCGGTGGCGTAATGGTGCAGATGAGTTTAGTACTGTAGTGGAGATATTCTTGGGTATGCTAGTGAGCGGGTTAGTGTTGTGAGCTGTTGGGGGAAGTGGTTAAGAGAATGTTGTAACGTGGTAGTGGGAGCTGCGCGGAATTAGTTGCGAGAATGTTAATTGAGAGAAGTGCAAGTGGGTATATATTATATAACACGGTTGTGTCCTTGTGACTCGCAGGTCTGATCCTGTATAACGGACAGCGCGCCGGCGGCAGTGGAGACTTCGTTGCGTTTGGTGTGACGGACGGCTATGCAGAGCTGAGGTTTGACATGGGCTCCGGAACTGCTGTCATCCGCAGTGCCGACCCGCTAGAACTGGGCGAGTGGCACACCGTACAGTTCAAGCGAAGCAAGAGATTCGGTATGTGTTCCACGTCGAGCTTTGTCCAACGTACAGTCTACAGCCATTTGCATCTGTTTGCGTATTGCTTGAGTGGTTAGTGACAAACTCGCTAACTTGTGTAACAAACACTAACTATGTTTAGTAGGAATTTTGAGTTTTGGAAACACGTGTGAAAGCCTTGGTGTTCTCGCTTCCGTAGGACAACTGATTGTGGATGGCATGGAGGCTATAAATGGGACATCTCAAGGCAACTTCCAGGGCCTGGACCTGCGTGAATACCTGTATCTAGGTGGTGTACCTGACTACACGGACATCTCCCGTGCTGCTGGCTGGACCACCGGATTCGTTGGTAGGTCTGCCCGCATATCACGTTTCATTTTGAATTAAGTGTGCCATTTTAAATTGATTTTTCCAGCGTAAATTTATAACAGTTGAGTAATAAATGCTCCACCATCAGGATATGCAATTTTTTTTATGCATTTAGAGGAAGATAATTTGAAAATGGGTTCAAACCAGTAAATTTAGAGTGATGCTACACGAAAAATTCTGCACAAACGCTGGCATGCGTTAAAAATCGTTATTGTGTCTCATTGTGATAGTTCCTGACAATGGTGACGACCACACACCTTCCAGTCACTAGATGCAATAATTGTCTTTTCAATGTGAACTGCAGGTTGCATTGCGCAACTAAAGAACGGCAACGCCATCTACGACCTGGCGAAGGAAGCACTCGATGTTGTCGGCGTGACGACGTGCCCGTCGTGTTCCGGATCGCCGTGCAAGAATGGAGGAAAGTGTGTGGAGGCACCGACCAGCGAGGGATACACATGCACATGCGCGGCGGGATATGCTGGCAACAACTGTGATCAAAGTGATGTCTGCATAGAAGGTGCCAGCTCCCCACAAAACATCTCACCCATCCGTATATGACATGACCACTGGTGTCATATTAGGTCGGCATTCGCTCTGTGACACTATAACTCGACGTGCACTGAACCCTGTGATGGATCCGTACAAGTCTGCAAATTGTTTTTTTTTAAACCCAATTCCTCAAAGTTGCGCATGTGCATGACAGGAGCGAGTATAATGGACCTACCGAAGGTCACTAACCGTATATTGCTCTTCTGACAGGTGCCTGCGGTGGAGGAAGCTGTGTGGCGGACGAGGAGCAACCGGACGGCTTCCACTGTGAGTGTCATATAGGTTTCGCGGGCCCTCGTTGCCAGGATGCCATCAACGTGATCACACCGATGTTTAACCGAGAGCACCACTCCTACATGGAAGTAAAGAGGCCAGACAACACAGAGCGTGACTTCAAGGTCACGATGAAGGTCAGAGCTCTACCTATTACAATAGGATTGTACCGCTACCTCACACGTCTGTACTGAGGCTACTATATCTTATACCTCACACGTCTGTACTGAGGTTACTATATCTTATACCTCACACATTTGTACTGAGGTTATTATATCTTTTACCTCACTCGTCAGTTTTAGTGTTACATCTGCCTCATATGTCGTGCTTGCCTATGCAGGTGAAGCCAGACCTGGTGGACGAGGGATTGCTGCTGTACGCGAGTCAGAACAAAGATGGCCGCGGCGACTTCGTCTCGCTGACGATCCGCGATGGCCGCATCGAGTTCCGCTTCGACTCGGGCTCCGGTCCCGCCATCATCCGCAGCGACTACATCAAGCAGGGCGAGTGGGTGAAGGTCGACGCCGGCTACAACCAGCAGGAGGGAGCGCTGACGATCGACGACGCGGCGCGCTACGAGGGCCGCGCGCCGGGCACGACGCGCAGTCTCAACCTGAAGACGCAGCTGTACGTCGGCGGCGTGCCGCACGGCGTCGTCGTCTCGCCGTTCGTCGAGGTCACGCTCGCTTTCACCGGATGCGTCTCGCTGGTGAGCAGGGTTTCGTGACAACGTTTGCAATGGCGACGACAGGCAATCGTAGCGGAAAGAAAAACGAATACCGGCTACCGCAGCATGTGGCGCCGCGGTCACGGTTTAGTTTTTTTGCATGCTTCGATTTGCACGTGGTCGCGATTGTAAACGTTTTCTCTGTTCGTCTTCGCTCTCGCAATGTAGTGGACGTCCTTTGTCATGTAAGGCTTAAGGTTACTTGCATGCTAGTTATCGTTGTCCTCTCCGTTATCGTTGTCCTACTCCAGCTCATCCATGTTCTTACGACGCCACATACATTCTACTGCATATGGCGCTACGCTCAATAGAATGCTATTCATCATCGTTTCCCACTCCTACTAATGTTCATCCACTCATTTCATCGGTGCGTTCACAGCTGGAGTTGAATGGCCGGGAGATACCGACGACAAACAGCTACAACGACGATGTGCTGAGCAGTGCAAACATCGAGGACTGCGGCGTAAACTCGTGCGACAGTGACCCCTGCCAGAACGCCGGCTCCTGCCGCTCCTCGCTCGCCGGTGACTTCTACAGCTGCGAGTGTCCGCCAGGATTCACGGGTGAGAGTGGCAGTCGGCTTGAGCCTGGCGCAGACTTGCGCCTTTTTCGTGCAACGCTGTAAAAATTGCTGTGAAATCGCTACGTCTGCGGGAATGTGCGACTGCAACCCGTAGCGATTCTGGTCGCTTGCGACGAGTTGCAAGAAATCAAACCGTTTTGATTTTGAGCGACTCGCAATCGCTCCCAAATTGCTTTAGAATTGCTACGAAGTCGCATGTGTGCGCACACGCGGTGACACATCGACCGATCGCTTGCGGTTGCAGGTTGCAGCGACGAGCAATCAAAAATCGCAGGTCTGCACTAGGCTTTAGTAGGCGAGCAGTGGAGGATGCTTTTGGGTCGAGTACCCCTCCCCATCTTAGAACAAAACACAAGCTATTTTTTCTTGAAGGGGGATGTCTAGGGAGTTTGAAAATCATGGTTGTGTATACGAAAGCATTGAGTATCACTTCGGCCATAGTGGTTTGTCTACGCATGAATCGTAATGTTGGTGACGTAGACCGGAGATCGAGTGACGAACATCTGATTCGGTAACCTTCGAACTTTCACTCGCCATTTTTTTACTCTAAAGGATGTAAACGTGACGTAGGAAGCGCAACCCTCGCACACTGAAACCAAAGCAGCATGCTTCTCGTTCCAGCAGAACTGCTCTGATGTCAGACTGAAAATCTCGAAACTTAACTATGTTCGAAGCGACTTGGTGGCTCTCTGTATACTTTATAGTGCACACACGCACGCACACACACACATACACGCATGCATGCATAATACTTGGGCATAGTACAAACATGCATATAGTTCATACACTTAGTACATGAATAATACACCTACCCTATTTGATTTTTTATCGCTTGTTTATTATATGCTTTCATTTCTTCTTCTTTTTAATTAATGGGACTAACTTTTTTTGCTATCAGGTGTGAACTGCGAGCTGGAGATGAATATCTGTCTTGAAGAGCAGCCGTGCCAGAATGGCGCATCCTGCCTGGTTCTCGGGGGCATCGATTCTGACGACTACGAATGCCAGTGTTCCAAGGGCTGGAGTGGCAAGACATGCACTGAAGGTGAGGTGGACAGACTACTCACAGTGTCAGTCATGGGGTGCTGTCAGCATAGCAGGCTACTCACTAGAGGGTGCTGTCAGCAGAGCAGGCTACTCACTAGAGGGTGCTGTCAGCAGAGCAGGCTACTCACTAGATGGCGCTGTCAGCAGAGCAGGCTACTCACGAGAGGGCGCTGCCAGCAGACCAGGCTACTCACTAGAGGGTGCTGTCAGCAGAAAAAGCTACTAACACAATCGAATTAAATGCATTGCAATACTTTCCCACTATCTCCTGTTACACTTACATCGATGACATTTCCCCTCATGTTCATTCATGGAGAGTAACTGATTTTTCCTCACTCTTCACCTCGCAGGAGTCTCCTTCGACAGTGAGGTGTTCTTAAATGGCAACGGCTATGCAGAGTTCAGCAGTGACTTGCAGCCGCACGGCACCGGTGAGACAGAGATCATCGAGATTAAGTTCAGCCACCAGAACTCGAACGGCCTGCTGTTCTGGCAGGGCCAGCAGCCCGGCACTGCTGCACTTGGCAACGACTACGTCTACCTCGCTCTCATAGATGGCGATCTAGTCTACAGGTGAGTTGGTGATGAGGGGTAGAGAGTGACGGGGAAGAGAGCGTGAAAGATAAAGAGGGGATGAGAGAGATGAGCAAGTGACACATTGAAAGAGAAAGAGTGCGTGCATAAATGAGGGGGAGCGATAGAGAGAGAAAACCAGGGAAAGGGAGAGGGGGGAGGGTTTTATCAAATCTCTGTTTTGTATCTAAGAGAGTTTCTTCGTGCTGAATTTCATTCGTATTCTCTCATTATAACATCATAACTCGACGAGAAGACAGCATGAAAACGTTAGCGATAACATGCATTGATGTTGCTATTGGGGAAGCAGCTGTAGCACTCCTCACCTGATTCCTTTCCTCTATTTCAGCTACGAACTTGGAAGTGGCATAGCCCAGCAGCAGATCACTGTGAATGAGGATGAAGAGGTTCACACCGTCGTTGTTCACAGGTATGTCAGCGACAGCAATTAACATCTCACACACCCATGCTAAGAAGAATCTCATTCAGAGTTGTGATTTTTTCGTTTTTTTTTTGGCAGAATTTCGCTTTTGTAACAGCCCCGGGTCGCTTTTGCGAAACGTCTAAATTTGTAATAGAAATTTAACAAACAAAAAATTTCTTTAGCTAATAAGTTAAATACTACAGAAATAATGTGCACTCTAGACTGTGGGACTAAAATTAATAGCAAGAAAATTGTGATTTCAAAGTTAATTCTAAATGCAAGGAAATGGCTTAGATTGCAGGAGAATGCTTCCTTACCCCTAGAGCTTCTGGGGGGCCTATGCAGCCCCCAGGTCCTCGAGGCCCCCGGCAGTTTAGTTTTTTTCAAACCCCAGCAATCACACCTCTGCATATTTGTTTGTCTCTCTCTCACTTCTCGTTCTGTCGGTTTTACTACATTTACTCACATAGTCCAATCGTCTTTTTTCATGTGTTGTAGGACGGGCAAGGAGAGCAATATGTCTCTGGATGGTGAAATAAACTTCGGTATGTCATCTGGTCCCAGTCAGATGCTCAACGTAGAGGGCAATATATATGTTGGTAAGTTTTATGTGCCATTTTGTGTTTATTACGTTATGCTGTGGATTGATCAAATTCGGTATGCATAAATGAGGCAATTTTGGATAGTTTGAAGCTATACTTTTTTCAATCCTACCATTATGTGTGCTCTTCTTATGTTTGTAGAAAGGCTATGAAAAGGGTGTATTTTTGGAATGATTGGCATCGTTGACATTTTCTCAATTATTCTTTTTCGCTAGGTGGAATTCCTGATTTCCCAAAACAAGTAATGAATGCCAAACTGGAGAATGGGTTCATCGGCTGCATTCACTTGTTGAAGGTCAATGGTAACAAAGTCATCGACTTCTATGAAGATAGTATACAGACAGTCAACTGTTTACCATGTGCAGATGACTTAGTAAGTGGCCTGGGATCAGCAGAACTGGAGCCTGAAGAGCGTGAAGACAAGGGATTTTGGGGTTAATTGATCGTGTAAATGTTCGATGGTGACTTGTGCATGTGTGTGCAGCAGATGACCACTGGCACGCAGACAGGTGCTGTCATCTGCCGGGCACCAGCTATTGTTATACAGTGTTGTCTAAGATTAAATTCGAACCTTTTTTTAAAATGCATTTTTTGATCGTGTGTAAGTCGCCGGCTTTTCAAGTCGAGCTGACCTAGCACGATGCAGTTCTCAGCGTTTTGCCGTCTCACCGGATTTATAGTTGATGAGATGGCGCCATGCATTTAAATGTCTATATCGGTCACAGGCTCGTGACGGTAGCATGCCACGTACCTCACTGTGTCTGGTCCTTGTGTAATGGGATGTGCTACGCTGTAGCTAATTCTCTGCAGTACTCCATCACTGGGCTCCTCAACTACCATCGTTTCTGTCTGTAATACGGAATGCGAGCCAATTATAGTGTCGAGTCGTTCTAGATGTTTGGCATGCAGTTTGGTTATTGCGATAGCTGAGCTCGTTAGTGATTAGCAGATTAGCAACACCGCTTATTCCAGCAAGGTCCCATACATCCAGCGCAGTGCCAGCACCTTTTTCCCTTCGTAGAGATCCCTTTAGTAATAATTTTGTTTGCGTATCAGAACTGTGGGGGCTTTGCTGTCACTCCTGTAGGTTCATGTCAGAGTTCTTGCTTTCCACGGCTGTATATTTGTACAATGAGAGATGTTTTATCGGGGTTCAGTGTGTCGAAGATATCTGGCAAGTCCTTTGTGTGCATGAGTGTGCTCTCTCGCGCGCGAACGCGTGTGTGTGTACATGGGTTGTGAATTAACGGCAGACAATCGTACAGTGTCGTGGTTTGGCGGCAACGACAACGGAAGGTGACGGGTTGCGCACAGTAACTTTTGTTTTTATCGGCTGGGGTTCGACTTTTCGATCGATTTCGCGTCATGCTTTGACCGGGTGCGATTGCACCACCATACATTCAATGCCGTCAAATTGCACGCAGAATCGCGTTTTGCCCCCCGGATCAGTATTAGGTCTCCAGCAAGAGAGCATGCATCGTGTATCATAACGGAAATGTAGTGGCCGATCATTGTAATTGTGCATATCACAGTGTAGACCACTGTTTCTGTTATTTGCTCCCTTGGGAAATGTGACCAGATGTGTTTAGTTGCTTTTTTTAAATTTTAGAAATCGTATTATTCACCGTTTTGCAATGATTAGATGTGTAATGCGTACAAAAAAGTAATAATGAAGACGTGATTGTGTGACGTAGACACGGATAAATATCTATGGCTTCTTCCTCGTTCGACCATGAAGAAACATGCAGTTGCATTTAGCAGGTGTCAAATACGATTAATAAAAAAAGTATAAACTTTGTCATTTCTGTTTGTGCTGCCAGCTTAATGCTGACGTTGACAACATATGGTGCTATTAAAACGTAATGTAACTACGACATATTCGTTGACGGTATGTTATCGGAAAATTGTGTTATGACGTAATAATATGCAGGTTCTGCATAAGTTATAGATTGCTTATTGATAGCCAGATTCATTTGGTATGCTATGCAAATTAGGTATCATAGCTTTGTGTAAAAATGACAACCAGCTAAGTTATATCTATGGCGTCTTGCGTAGTCTTGCTTATATATAATGAATTGTATTTTCGTTTTATTCGTTTATTGTGAATCACCAAGTGATAAACATAAGTGGCTTGCCAGCTGATGCTGATTATTTCTAAGTAGGGTAGCTTGTCTGTTTCTTTTAAGGTCGCTTTAACCATTCTGTTGTGAAGGCAGGCACATACAGGCCACACAGGTGTGTGTACAGGCAGTACATGTACCATTGTCTTTTAATAAAAGTTAACATACCGTTTTATCAATTTCTGTCTTCGTCGCAATTGTTGTTTGATTATTATTATTATTATTGCAGAAATCAACATTGAAATATACTTATCCAAAACACCGTAACCTTGTAGAAAGCGTCAATGATATATTCGCTCCAAATAACGTTTAAATTCCCAATTCGTTATTGACTTTTTACATTTTTATGCGTAACATTTCATGTGTACTGGACGGTCGGAACCGGTCGTACCTGGGTACTCGGGGCACTGCGAAACCCTTGGCAATAGTCGGACCGGCTGTCCAGCCTATGTCACCTACAAGTACAAGTGTACGGGGGGAAGGCACCCTACCAGTCGACCCTTAAATTGACTACGTCACGAATTTTCTATGGTGTATTTTGTAAAATTTTTGTTGTCATTTTTTTACATTAAAAGTAAGTACTAACGGGACTAAATGTATCTTCAAATTCTTACCTGATGAGATTGTTTCTCGACTAGTTAAAAATCCAAAAAACCTGGACGATTTGATATCATGATCCTGACCTTAATTGCTTGCTATGGGCTATGTATGAGTCACGAGTGTATGTTTACATCGAACAATATAGTAAAATAGGAAGTATAATGCAGCAATTTAACCATAAAAAGTAAACAGAATTACTTACATTTTGTGAAAAAGTGGAAATGTTTTTTTTATTTCTACTATTTACGGTGACGTAATCACTTTCAAATAGGTACGTTGCAAGAGTGACCGGTGCCGGCTGTCAGTATTGTTTGCCCAAGCACGGTAAAAGTCAACGAAGTGTGTGGACCTTCCTATGTGCTTGTGGCACTTGTTATAATGCTTCACTACTGAACACGCCTCACTGCTTATATATACTACTTTATATATACTACTTATACAGGGTACAACCGGATGATAGGCAGCGCTGGACTGCAAATATGCGGCCAGTGCTACGGGAGTGCTACATCCCGGCCAACCAACAGCAAATCGGTGCTGCTGCAACATGTTCTGCTTGCATCTATGACAAATACGACATACGCATATACGTTCTCCTGTGACACTATTTGTCATAGAAAGATTCTTCCTATGACAAAAATTGGCGAGTCAACTTCGTTCCGCTTTACAGCTGAAATTCACTGCTTGCATTCATAATAGCGCTCCTAAACTCCTATGATACGCACAACACATACAACAATATTTGTAATAGGAAGAATCTTCCTATGAGAAATAGTGTCATAGGAGAGCGTATATGCGTATGTCGTATTTGTCATAGATGCTAGCAGACAGGCTGGCTAATAATACCCAGGAAACTGGTATACCCAGCAGTATACCCATAATAATAATAATACCCTGCAAACTGCAACGCCAACGGAGCGCGCGCACGATGCCACACTTTGATGAAAATAATTAGGCCTAATCGATTTATTTTGGCCCGATGCAATCAGTAAACACCAAATATGGGAGAAATATACTATACAAATCACTTAGCGCCATTATCAACATTGGTCACGCTATTTATTCTGCAACACGCAGAAAACAATTGCTTGCAGACATAAAAAACGAGAGATAACACTCGCTTAAGTTTTCATCACTCCCAAAATAATAGGTAAACGCGAACACGGAGTAAAAAAAAAAAGAAGTAAAAAAAAAAATTACACCCCCTAGTGGTGCCGCGCATGCACGCGCACAAACGCAGGTACACACACACGCGCGCGCATATATATAT